ATATATATATGGATAAACTTTTTCATTGTGGTCTTAACACTTTTATATAAAAATGAAAATGGAAAAAAACCCCACTGAACTCTCTCTTCCTTCTCTTTCCTTCCCTCTCCAGAGATGTTGGTTTCTACAGCAACTCTAGATATAAAATTATGGCTTTAAAAATGCATGAAACCACCTTTAATCATCCAGAATGATGAATAGATTTGTCTTTTCCTCACTACCCTACCCCAGCAATCAACATTCTTTCTTGCACTTGCTGCCCTTGACCCTTTCTTCCATTCTCACACTGTCCGTCACTCTGGACAAAGGATCATACATGTGTCATTAGCCAGCAGAAGGGGCCAAAGTGATGAAACAAGGTAGGGTGGAAGCCATACCCGCTGAGTGCATCCGCAAGCCCCATGGGGCAGCCCCAACCTATGACTTCATCCTGCACAGAGCCTGTTCCGAAGACCCAGGCCCTGCAGCCCAAGGCTTGTGCAAATGCTGAATGCTGAACTTGAGAAACGACAGATCACTTGTTGAAATCCTGCTTATTACCCTATGACTCTTTAATTCTTAAAGAATCTTGACAGAAAAGAAACGGGTGTGCACAAAGAAAAAAAGACTATTTTTCACTGCCAGCTTCAAAGAAAAATTTTTCTACAATTTGCATGAGGGATTTTTTTTTTTTTTTTTTTACAAAAACGTGCTTATGGTTACCAAAATGTACTGTACAGAGAGGAGCAAAAAACCAAGTCCACTTTCCCACAGCCATCTGTCCATCCTGAAGCATCAGCAATGTTTCCACCTCCTGTGAGCCAAGGAGGCCACCCGCACAAGCTTGTAAATGGTTATCTTTAAAGTGTATATAAATGGAACATTTAATAAAGTGAGGGAAATGCATTTATAAACTTTTTTTCTAGGTGACCGTCTAATGGCCTTCGCAGACTGGGAGTTGCTCAAGATGTGATGGGCCTGGTGGCACAGGTGACATTTGTTGCCACCCATTCACTCCCAGCCCCATTTTTGTTGTCATTTTTATAACCCCGGCACATTATAGTAGTGACCTGGAACAGTCCCTCCCAGGACAGGGGCCAGCTCTGAACTGTGGCATCTGGAAACTGAACTAAGAGTCCACCTGGGCGTCTTCCCCAGCTTTGTGCCTGATGCTGATGTATTGAGACTGGACTTTCAGGTCCTCTTTGAAAAAGTTCAAGAGCTACAGCCACTTCTGCCTACAGCCTGCTCTGGCCATCTCCACAGCAGCCAGTCAGAGCAGAGTGGGGTGCTGTCCTCTACACGCTGACTTTCTGGATGGGAGTAGTTTTTAAAGCGTATGACACCAACAGTGATCAGCTGGGTTTGGCCAGGAAGTTGTCTTTGTGGACTCTGCCTGCATGGCTTAGTAGTAAGAGGAAGTTTTTTTGTTTTGTTTTTTATAATTCAGTTTAATCAATAAACGTATTTATTGACTACTTTCTGTGTTGAGACTATGTGGAACTATACAACTGAAAGCTCACGGTTTGCTTTTGCTTAAATTGTTTAATTCACTAGTTGCTGCCTCACTTTCTGGAGGTTTGCATTAGTGTCACTTAACTTCATATTTAAGGTTAAAACCATTGCAGGGGCTGAACCCAGCTAATAATCAGCTGACTTGAATCTCACAGCCACACTTAGGACTTTAATGAACACACAGTGCTTCTGAAAATTCAGTAATTTAGACAAACATTTAGGTGAAATGTGCACATTGCTCAGCGTTTCTGTATGAGGCGAGGTGGTGTGGGCTGGAGGCAGCTACTCCCAGGCGGAGGGTAACGTTACACATCAACTGTCTGTCTGAAATAGTGCTTCGGGGAAAGTCATATTTGCAGCCATCTTAACCAGAAATCCTGTGTTCTAGAATCTAGGGCAGTGGGGGAAATTACAGAAGCCAGCTAGCACAGAAGTCTGGCTCTCAGAGAAGCTGCCCGTAGGACAGTTACAGCAGATCTTGTGTTGTGCAGGAAGTTCTGTATTTAGGAAAAGAGCCTGAGATCCCTTTGGGAGCTGTCGACGATACCCTGCAGCGCAGCGTGCGTGCCATGGGTTCACCGACCAGGAAGGAGGATGGCATATAAGCAGCGCAGCTGTTCGATTTTGGGGGTTTTTTTTGTACCAGGGATCGAACTCCGGACCTTGTGCTTGCAAGGCAGGAGGCAGCAGCACCAATGAGCTAAATCCCTGGCCCTGTATTTTATTTATATTCTTGCTGCGGAGTTAAGCTTGACTTGGGCTCAGTATGTAGCCCAGGCTGGCTTCAAGCTTGGACCTCTCCTGCCTCAGCCTCCGCAGTGCTGGGATTACAGGTGTGCACCACTACACCTTGGCAATATAACTGTTGACATGACCTAGTCAGACAATAAACCCACTCAGTAAGCACTTTGAAGAACTGCTTTATTTTACAAAAATCTACCTTTGAACCAGCCACGTTCAAACTTAACGGGTGCAACTTCAGTTTTGGATAATGCATCTGTATTTCATTAAAAGCCACTAAAAAAGAAACATTAAGTAGGATTTAAAAAATTGTGACATATAGAGATTAATTCCTAAAAGCACCTCTCTCATCCAACCAAAACCTTTACTGAATTTTTCCTCCTGAAAAGCCCAGCTGAGTGCAAGCCAAAGGGTCTCTCAACTCTATTTTTTTCCTACAGTAATTTGAATTTCGGTCACCTGATCATGTGGGCAATATCCCAGTTGGTCTCTGCAGACAGCGGTCCCTCTATTTCAACACCTTTTTCAGTTACAGTGGCGATTTCAAACTGAAAGAAAACAGCTTTCATTGAAAATGCCTGTCTCGAAAGAGTCAAAGGTTAAGCGGCCTTCCTACCCTCTGAAAATAGGAGTCACTAAGGGAGGCGATCGGTCCTTCACATCACACAGACTAACCGGCTGTAAGCAGCCTGCCAAATGGGCTCCCACTCACCCGGTTGTACGAGCGGGCATCTCGATAGTACAGCACTCTCATGCAGCGCTCGACCAGCTCTCGGGCCTCAGTCTGGCTCAGCACGGGCTGCTTCTCCAGCACTTCTCGGAGCAGGGGCTAGGGAGAGCGGGGAAAAATTACCTGGCTGACGTATGTCTCATCCACTGCATAGACGAGTGACAAGATGATTCCTATTTATTGTCTCATGCTTCCCCTTGGGAAGCGCAAGTTCTAGGGCAGCGTTGGCAAGCCGGGGCACATGCGCTTCTTACCTGAGCCAAGTATGCGCCATAACCAGTGGCCAGCGAAGGGGCTTCGTAGGCTACACCAAGCATGTCCACGTAGCCGAGGAAGCTAACAGGACAGTGGGGCAAAAAGCTCCTTTAGTCTTACATTTCTTAGCTGAAGCATGGGAGGCGGGGTCTGAGGAGAGGGGTTCACTGGGGGAGAAGAGGCGAGACACGCTGCGCGGGTGCTAGGCTGGGTGGGCAGGGAAGGAAGGCAACCTCTCTCCGTCCGCACAGCCTCCGATGACCATGGTGTTCCACAGAGGGTTCATCTTCGAGCGCCGGCTGTACATGGCCCTGGTCAGCCACGAGTGAATAGCTCTAGGGCTATAGCTGTGTCCATCTCCCAGCAACTCCTCGTCGATCCTTAAAGGGGATTGGTTGTGAGAGAAGGGTGAGAACGTTAGTCCAGATCTCCACCCGCCCCAAAAGAAGTCAGCACAGCTATTTTGTTGTAAATATATTTTCAACGCCCACCAACTTCTCGCACACCGCTGCCGCAGCCTCAGCTCCTCCCATCCGAGCCAGGGGAACAAAACCCTGCACTCCGCTTTCCCGGTCCCCGTTCCCCAGGCGACTTACACCATCTGGCCGAGAACCTGCTTCAAGTACTGGAAGTCAGCGTAGTCTCCCGAGGCACCCAGCATGGTGCTGTCGTTGACCCGCATAATGCGAGAGATGTTACGGAAACGAGCCAGGGAGCCGTAGGAGCCCAGCATGTCGGCTGCGAGCACCACTCCGCCCTCGAACTTGACGCCGAGCACCGAGGTGCCGGTCACCATGGGATTCCTGGGGAGCGAGAAGGGGTCCGGGCTCCACGTGCCGCCCTCTCCGGGTCCCCACGAAGGTCCGCGGCCTCCCCGCCCGCCCGGACTCGCAGACCCGGCCCGCCGCCCCGCCAAGGAGCGGGAACTCACAAGGTCCGCGTGACGGAATCCCCGCGGAACGCGGACCCCGGGTCCAAGGGGGACGAGGGAGTGGGCGGGACGCGGTAAAACTGTCCTGGGGCCGGACCCCCGGCCCAGTGGCCACACCGCGACTCCAGGACCGCTTCCATCTTAGTCACGGTAGAAGAAATGAAAGCTGTTGTCCCAGCGGAAGCGGAAGCGATCCTACGGTGTTACATTTTTCTTCTTCCTGAAAGCCACTTTCAGAAGCCATGTTGATGAGGTCAAGCCCGAAGGTACCATTGTCCTGGAAAGGGACTGAGATGCAGCAGCAGTCTATCCACAAATTTTAAAAATTTTGATGTAGTCCTATTTATTCTTTATGTGTGTTTCTTATTGTGGCCACACTTTCATTGTCATAGCCAAGAAATCATTGTCAAATGCAATGTCACAAGACTTTCTGCCTCTTCTAAGAGTTTTTCAGTTTTAGATCTTACGTTTTATTTTTATAGGCGATGTAAGATAAGGATCAAATTTCATTTCTTTGCGAGTCCATACCCAGTTTTCCCACCATCATTTGTTGAAAAGACTGACCTTTCCCCCCATTTAATGATTTTTGCCTCCTTGTAGAATAATCTTATCTAGGAGAGTTTATTCTGGGCTTACTACTCTATTGCATTGGCCTATATGTCTGTCTTTACAACAGTGTCACTATTTCAGTTACTGTAGATTTATGCTCAGTTTTTTAACGTTAGCCCTCACATGATTTTGTTCTTCAAAATTGCTTCCATAAGAGTGTCTTTTCAAAGTTTTATCTTTGCAAAATATTTCATTTGGCATAAACTGGAAAATATTTTCTTTTTGGAACTTTAAGGGTGTAATTTAATTTATTCTGGCATCCATTGTTTTGTTACTTGTTCTATTGTTTCTTTGAAGGCAAATGGGATTTGTTTGTTTGTTTGTTTGTCTTGTGATACTGGGGATTGAACCCAGTGCCTTTGCACTGAGCTACATCCTCAGCCCTTTTATGTTTTAGTTTGAGACAGGGTCTCAGTAAGCACCCGGGCTGAGCTCTGATTTGTGGTTCTCTTGCTTCAGCCTCCCTTCCTCTGCCCAGATTGGTTACAGGCATTCACCACTATGTCCACCTATGCTTTGTTTTGTTTTAATCTGAATTGTTTTAATAGGTTTACTAATGTTACTAGGATATGGTAAACCATTATCTTTTTCTTTTTCATTTTTTGCAAGGGTGGGGGGTCATGGTTTTATTTATACTTATCAAGACCTGCTTTTGCTGACATTCTTGAATCTATGGGTTAAATATCTTTTATCAGTTTTGGAAAATTATCAGCCACTGTCTCTTTTTTTTTTTCTTTTTATTGAGGTTATTGGTACAATCTAGGTATACAATACAATTACATTCATCATTGGGATTCTGTACCTTTGCATAATAGGTCTTGATTCTCATTTTTCCCCTTGTCCCTGACCTCCCTTCACCCCCTCCTCCCCTCCCCATTTACAAACACTTTATTTCCATTTTTTCAGTTTCTCATATGTTTTTCCTCTCCCTTATTACCTCTCCCCCACCCTTCCCACTTTCCTTACACCTTTAGCCCTTTACTTCCTATTTCACATTATTAATTGTCTCATTAGGATCCTGTGTACTATTATAGTTTTTCACACCAAAGAAACTATTCGGTATTTCAGTTAAAGAAATCTCTGTATGAACATTAAAAATAGGGAATCCTAAAATAAAACTAAAAAGGAAAGTAAAAGAGAAAAGGCAATGATATAACATCAAAATAATCCTTAATTCTGGAGATGAAAATGGTCCCTGAACATATTTAAATTGCTTCTCGCTCTTATAGTCTTATCTTATTCTTTTTTCATTATTTAGAGAATACTTTATTAGTTTCTGTAATCAAACCCACATAGATATGACCTTACATATTTAGTATGATGTGTTACCCCTGTACACATGGGAAAAAATAAAAATAAAAATAAATCAACATTTCTAGACCAATATGGTTGTCCATTTCTGTACAATGCCAAGTCAACACAGTAAATTGGGGTGACTTTTTCCAAAGTTGGCAGCACCGTTAAAGTTTCCCAAAATTCAATTTATATATGTGTGTGTGTGTGTGTGTGTGTGTAAAGACTAATAATAGTATGTTATGCATCGATAGCAGCAACAGCTTTTCCAGGTTCTGCAGTCGTCTGAACAAAATTATAGACATTCAGCACATTCCATTAAAAAAAAACAAAACAAAAAACCAAAGAAAAGAATAATATCCAGAACAGCAAAGTTCTGTTGCTGCTGTGGTACCTGGCACCATTTTTTCTATTAGCCTCTTAATCATCATCTGGAAAGAGAACATTCTAGAGTAATATCATTAAATGTAGCTCTGATAAAGCATGGTCCCTACTATGTATCATAAAGCAGATACTAGATATTTTACATTCATAGAGGTATGATACAGTACTGTCCTACATCAATAATACTAGATTCAGTTTTGGTTTGAAATTTACTTGTCTGCAAATAAGATTGCTACCCCTGTTTTTTTCTGGGCTCCTGTCGCATGGAGAATTGTTTTCTATCTTTTCACTTTCAGTCTATGGGCTTCTTTTTGCACTAGGTGTGTTTCTTGTATACAACATATTGTTGGATATTGCTTCTTATTCCATTTTGCCAGTCTATTTCTCTTGATTGGTGAGTTGAGGCCATTGACATTGATGGTTATAACCTATATATACTGGCTTATTATTGACATGTTATTGGCCTTTTGTTGACTCTTTTTACTTTTTCACCCTCTCCTTTTAATTTCTTGCCTTGCCTATTTGATTTGCTCTGTTGGGCCTCATGGTGTTGTTGCCTTCATTGTCTTTTTCTAGGATCTTGTTTAGAATTCCTTCTAGTGCTGGTTTGGTATTCATGTAGTTTCTCAGGAGTTCTTTGTCGCAGAAGTGTCTTATTTCCCCATCCATTTTGAAAGAGAGTTTTGCAGGATACATCAGTCTAGGTTGGAAGTTGTTCTCTTTTAGTACTTGAACTATCTCATTCCAGGCTCTCCTTGCCTCAAGGGTTTGTGTTGAAAAGTCTGCTGTGATTCTGATGGGCTTTCCTTTGTATGTGATTTGTTTCTTTTCTCTTGCTGCTTGTAGTATTTTGTTCTTCTGTTGGGTTTCTGGGATCTTGATTATTATATGTCTAGGTGTAGATTTTTTTTGATTGTAGCTAGTTGGGGTCCTGTATGCCTCAGTTATCTGAATGTCAAATTTTTCCCCTCTGTTTGGGAAGTTTTCTGTCATTAATTCTGTGAATAACTTTTTAAAGTCCTTTGTATTTTCTCCTGCTACTTCATGTATTCCTATCAGTCTTATGTTATTCTTCTTTGCATCATCTAGGAGTTGTTGGATTGATTTCTCATGATCTCTTACTGTTTTTAAGAGACCTCTCTTTTCATGGTCACTGACTGCAATCTTATCTTCTATATCTGAGAGCCTATCTTCGCATTCTTTTATTCTGTTGTGTACACTTTCAATAGAGTGTTTAATCTCCTGGATATCTGTTTGAATCTGTTTTATGGATTCCATTTCTTTCCTATGTTGGGCATTTATTTTTTCCATTTCTTTCTTATGCTGGGCCTTCATGGCTTCTATCATGGTCCTGAGCTCATCTATTTTTTTGTCAGTTTCTGCTCTAGAGTCTCAAATCACGACTTCCATTTTGCTCACTATCTCTATGGTTATCTGGGAAATTATTTCTGTTTTGAATTTTGCCAGAGCCTGATTGATCTGTTTTGTTACTTCCTGTGCTTTGAGTTCAGGGTGTCCTGGTGGTTCACTATCGGCCTTTTCATCCTCATTTGCCCTAGTGTTTGCCATCGGTGAACTGGAAGTCTGTCCTTGTGTCTTGCTTAAGTGTTTTCTCATTTTTATTTTTGTTGTCGGACTGTCCTTGGTTTAATCTCTGGGTTATCACCCAAATCTTCCTGATATGGTTGTGCCCTAACTTCTGTGTCTCTAACGACTCACAGACATTCTCATCTTCATAACATCAGAGAAAACAGCTCATCAAATCAACAGCAATGCTTTACCCCAACTGATACAATCAGCAACACATTAAGATCAAGCACAACTTGGACACTGACCACTTGTGGTAGTCACTAGTCTATCACCCTTAAATCATCTGAATTAAATTGAAATCAAGAAGCAGTCCAGAACATGTCTGCAGTGAACAAAATTTCAATATAGTGTATTTACCATTTAATGGCTCAGACAGAGCGAGGATGCTAGATCCCTGGTCTCAGCTGATTGCTGAACCCCATGACGCTGACTGACCTCGGGCTGCAAGGTCCAGATTGAGTTCCCCAACCTTCTGAATGGTTGAACTCCACAACATTCTATTACAGATTTCCTACGCCCTTTCTTTAAAGATGTTCAAAGTTGGGAAGTCAAAAAATACCCTTGATGACCACCTCTGCCTCTGCAGAGTAGGTCCAAAGACTGGCACAGTCAGGAGGTCTGAGGGGGGGTTCAAGGGGTTCAGGGGCGCCCGTGCAGCTACCTTCCTGGCTCTCAAGCATTGGCAGCTGGGGCCGGAGAAGGCATGGCTCTCCTTCCTGCGGTGGATGGGGGCCCAGTCTACCTCCGGGCTCTGGAGCAATAGCTGCCAGGCCGGAGAAGGCGTGGCTCTCCTTCCCGCGGTGGATCAGGGCCCCTCAAAATTTTTTTGAGAATTGGAGTCAGGTATGGTGGCTCACACCTGCAATCCTCACACTTGGAAGGCTGAGGCAGGAGACTGCCACAAGTTCGAGGCAGCCTAGACTACATTGTGTGGTCAAGGCCAGCCTGAACGACACAGTGAGATCTTATCTCAAAAAACAAAAACAAAACCAGAACAGAACAAAACAAAAAGAATTGGTGCTCACTGTGCTTGACATGATTTGTAGAATTCAGTGGTCAGGCTATGTTGTCCTGCACTGCTGTTTGTCGGGAGACTTTACTGACTCAAACTCTGCTATTGATCTGCGCAGTTTCGTCTTCCATCTCTGTAATCTCGTGAATTCCTGATTGCACATTCTGTTCCTCTGCAAACCCTGACATAGGTCTTACTTCTGAGAAGTGGGGTGTTGTTCTAACTAGCACCCAAGAATGTGGCACACCTCTAAGGGTGGGTAACGGGGACAGGCAGGAAGAGGTGT